GGGAGAACTTGCACAATTGGTGGCTGACTAAATACTTTTTTGCCCCACTGTAATAGGTAGGACAGATTCCAGCAATGGGGACAGCACATTTCATGATGTGGTTTCGTGTTAACTAAAGGATGGGTGGATAGCATGTCAACTCAGTGGTGAGGAAAGGCCCTAGGTAGAAGCTGATTTTAGAAGAGACCTTTTTAAATCAGGCAGTGGATTTTACACCATTCAAAAACCTGAAAGATCAGGTTAGGACAGATTGTCATCTCTGTGTGATCCTGAGTTGAAACCAACTTGATGGCACATAAAGTGGATCTGAAGTGGAACAGTTAGATGTGGTTATGGCTAATCATAACCACATCTAACTGACTTCAGTAGATCGGCTTAAAAAATGATTTGTCAATCTGTTTACCTATTGATCTGCATCCACTCCATATACTTTGGCATATATGGCTGTTTCTTAATTTTTTACATTGGTGCTATGTGTGTAACTGCCATATAGATGGTTGGTGTAACCTATGATAGCACTTGCTGTTTATTCCAAATTTGTAGGAGATGACCACAGTTACATTATTCATAAAGTGTAGTATTTGTCAAGTCGGGGCATTCCTTACATAATTTCAAATTGCTTACATGAACTTTTTGATAGCAGATGAATATTTTATAATACATGGCATCTTGCAAAAATATATTAGTGGCATTTATCATTTCCATGCTGTCTTTAGATGGGAGAGTGACTCTTTCAATCATATTTTTATTGCTAATCTCTGATGGAGATTTTTAAAAAAGCAATTCTGAATTGATGCCCCAGTTGCCTTTCCCAAGTATGTTTAAGAAAGTGTTAATTTTCTTGTTCTTTAAAATTGTTCAACTATTTAACACAGGCGAAAATTAATGATCTGGAACACCAACTTCAGTTAGCAAATCAAAAGATAAAAGCCTTGGAATATAAAAAAAAGGACAGATCTGTTCTAATTCAGAGAAAAATGTCATCTGACAAATGTATGTGCAAAAAGAAGGGAAGCTGTTCCTGCAAATATTTAGGTAATACTCTTTGTTCTCATATATTTGCTTCGTTGGCTCTTGATCTCATGTGTTACCTTTTGACATATGCTCATCTGTGACTGAATGGAGATTAGAAGTTTCTAAAAGTTTGCAACACAGTACCGTTTTCTCTTTTATCTCAATATGGAAAATTTTGGTTTATGAAAAACATTGTTTACAAATATGATATTCAAAATAGGATGAATCTGACATTTGGTTATAATGGGCACAATCCTAGAGTCCCAGAAACAGACTCTTGCTTTGGTCTCCCTGCTCCCCCACCCCCTGCTGATGCCTTCTCAGGTCAGATTGTTGGGGCTGGGTGAGCAGAAATTGGTTCCAAGAATCCTTCCCAATTCTCTTCTGTGCTGCTAAGCTAGGGGAAATTTATACCAGCTCACAGTGAGAAGGGAGAAACAAAAACAATCAAAAGATGACAGACATTCTAATTTTTGCTGTGCCAGGCTGTAGAGAGATTTTTAAGTATGGTTCCCTCAAAATAAAATTTCCTTTATTCAAATGAAAAAAAGAAAATGGAAAACTTCCAGTTTTGTCCATGAGCTGGTAGAGGTAGCGTGTGAGCCTGAGGTTCATACCTACTTATTTTCATTTCAAGCCAATACTTGTTAAATCTGATTCAAATTACCATGTTTTGAAATTGCTTGCTAAAGAGGGCCAGGCCTCTTAAAAGGTTTAAAGTGGGAGAACAAAAAACATTAAATTAAGAAATACTTTATTAATATTACCTTTAATTAAATTGTTTCACTATTAAATTTTAGTATATGTGCACACTTACAGTTGTCATATTTCACACATATTTCACCCATACATCTACACTTACACTGTACAGAGAGAGAGAGAACATATTCTCATAGAAAGGAAGTGCAAGGCAGCAGAGTCCAGAGGATATAAGGGGCTGCACCTGATTCCTTGATGGTCCATGTGTAGCCCCTGAGCCAAAGGTAATACCTTTGTGTCTTAATTGAAATTGTAGTCTGAATAACGGATCTCTCTTGCATTTGAAGTGCACATAATTCACCTCCTTCCACTCCAAAAAGACTTAGCAACTAAAAATATTTTGTATAAAGATACAAACATGGCTTAATGAAGCAGTACCATAATTATGTTTTGCATATTCTCTTTTATTTAGAAAATCAAACTTATAGTGATATGAAAGCTTACTGTTGTTACGGAGAGTTGATGTGTACTCTTTAGTTTCTGACTAGGACCAGGAAATAGACTTTCACTTGCCATAAAGCTTACTGGCTTTGTTTCTGTTCCCCAATCTAACGAATTTTATAGAATCCAAGTGAGGGTAAAATAGAGGAGAGGAGGTGTTATTCTTATCTCCTTGTAGGAACTGCAATACTGAATAGATTTTTAAATTATAGTCCGGTCCATATCCTCTGTGCTAATTTGAGTATATTGTAAGTGCTGTCATTTAGTGACATTTTTCTCTTTCAAACTGATTCTTTGGCCTGTACAAAGAATTTTTTTTACCATATTTTGTCTGTACTACTTCTCTGGCCCTTGCATTTTATAAACTGATTTTAGCTGTTATAGATAGTTCCATGCCATATGCAGCCAAAGACTTTTTTCTGTGCTTGGACCAGAAACCCATAGAACAGAGAGAGGGACTGGCCCATGGTCACCCAGCTGGCTTTGGGCCTAAGGCAGGACTAGAACTCACAGTCTCCTGGTTTCTAACCTGGTAGCTTAACCACTACTAGACCCTATAACATTTTCTTCTTTCCCCGAGACTGACTTGTTACATCTAAACTGCTTTGGGCCAGTGTTTGCAGGTCTGAGGCTTCCAGAGCCTTGAGAAGTTCTCTTTTTTCAGCTGCATTTCCTCTGACTGTCACATTATTCTTAATTTTCTGTGAGATACCTTGACTCTTCAGCAAATAGAATCAGTCGGTAAGAAGACAATAAAGCTGAAATTGAAATACTGTAAATATTCAGGCCTTAAAACTGACAACATTTTCAAAGGTGAAAACCTGATTTTACAGAAGTCAAAACAATTCTAAGGTACAGTTAAAAAAGAATAAGAACATAATTTTTATCTTTTAGTGACTTTAAAGAGATTATTTACTGTACTATAGACCAGCTGCTTTTTGAGACACAGCGACTGAAGATGGAAAATGAAACACTCTCCAAAGAACGAAGAATGTTAAAAAATGAGCTTGCTGCATTAGATAAGGTAGGTAGTTGTTTTTTTTTTAATGTTAAGGTAATGTAGAGAAAGCTCCCAATTGCAAATAGGAAAAGTCTGGTATGGGGAGGTAGTTTTATGCATTGTTACATTGTGGTTGCATACTAGAAGCTTTGGCTCTGCTGATCAGTGGATAGGGATGGGTTAAGTTACGTTCTCCCTTCCAAGCAGGGGCTTATTTCAGAATGTATAATGATGTTTGCCTGTTTGTATGTGTATCTTTGGGTTGAAGATACAGTCTTCTGTTGAATTTATTATTCTGTAGATTTAAAGTAATTCTTTGAAAATGTGTAAGAACAGATGTGATACAGGATGAAATCATGCTGTAGATTATAATATGAAGATTGGTAATAAAAAAGTCGCAAATATATAATCCCTCCCTCCGTGTACAATCAGTGACTTCTATTTTCAAATAATTTCACTTATTTTAAGATTGTAATATATATTTGGACACTATGTTTATCTGTAGAAAGGAAATCTGTTTTATCTTAATTATATTTATTCTTTGGATTAAATTTGGAAGCTTAGAAATAGGGGCAGTTGATTTATTTTAACTGATTTTATTCAGCATATGTATAATTTATAAAAATAACGAAATACTGAATTCTATAATTAAGGATTTATGCTAGGACAGGAGTCTTCTTGATTCATTATTACAGATGTAGGATTTGATAACAATTTTTTCCTTGATGTTTATAAACAAAATATGAATCGGAATTGACAAAATAACCCTGGGTCTGTTCGAACCCAAGATGGAAATTAATGGAAATCAATTACAATTTATTTTTCTTCCATTTGCAAATATTGTGATTATTTTTAAGCATTTGTTGGGGGGGGTGGGTTGTTCTTTGTAGCAAAGAATAAAGTTGGAGACACAGTATCTAATTGGGAAGTACAATTTAATTAAAATGTTTTGTGACATAACTTTTCAGGATTTTTTTGATGAAATAGAAGATTTAAAATATGCTCTACAAGAAGCCATAAAGCTGAATACTCACTATGAAAAGTGTTTAAAAGAGTTAAGTTCCACTTATGGAGTCACTTTTACATCAATGTTGACAGCTGGCAATCATCGTACAACTTTATGGAAATAACATGCTCAATCAAGATTATTAAAGTATACTGAGCGTACTCAGAAAAATCAACTTTCAACAGAGTAACTTCTTAATTTGTGCCATAAAATCATGACTCTGACCTATTTTTAATTCTGCATAATTTGTATACAGTTTTTATTCTTCCTTTATTTTTAATAAATTTGGGGCTGGCTTTAATGCAATGCTTAACTGTGATTTAGCATTCAATAAGTGAATGTAAATGAGTCTTGTACTTAAACACTTCCACTTTTTCTGTCTTCTGGAGGCATATACCAAAAGAAGAAAATAGAAGTAACTGATTCTGATTTTAAACTAATTGTAGAGCCTCTTTATGTCTGAACTTGGGGCCTGTGATTAGTTCAAACTATGGCTTGTTCAACCCAAGGGAACTGTATGGAACTTTGGTTGGCCTTCCAGCTTTTTGTTTTACCACCATGGAGTGGGTACAATCCAAGTTCATCAGAATTGCTGCCAAGATACCCCATGTCTCAAATTATTATCTACAGTTGGAGACAGGCATGATAAAAGTTGAGGCAAGAGTGTGTCTTGCTTCCATAAATATTTGGGTAAAGCTTAACTTTTATCCTCAAGGCCTAGCACCATTAATTCTCCAGGACAAATTTCAATCTATCTGTATTAAGACCTTTTAAGGTGTTAAGTAGCATTAAGCATAATATCCTTCTCAACTACTTGCAAGGGTTGGGGGACTGTTTCACTCTTTCCTGAGCAGGCAATTCTAGTCAGAAGTGCTGGGGGATCACTGAATATTCCTTTATGAGGTGCCATCTGGCTTGACTATCTCTCCCCTGTTCTTTAAAATTTATATCAAACATATGAGAGAGGTTATCCTTCAGTTTGGGATGAGGTCTCATCAGTATGATGATGATACCCAGTTAGTTATATATCTCAGCAGTGGTCAAATTGGAGATGCCACAAAAGTCTTCAGCGTTTGGAAACTCTAGGAATTGGGACAAAACAAGTTAAAACTTAAGTCCCAGCAAGAAGGAGTTAGTTTATCCAAAAGCCATCTTGTTGGCTCCTGTTTTGGTGCTGGATGGGATTTCATTTGCCCTGAAGGAGTAGGTCCATGTCTTAGAGGTAGAGATTGTGGCTAGGGAAGCTTTGCCTAATTTTCGTTATATCAGTTGTGGGCCTATTTGGAGCAGGAGTGAATAGGGATAACATCACCTTGAGGTTGAACTTTTGTAACATGCTGTTCATTGGGCTACCTCTGAAGACTACCTAGAAATTGGAGTTGGTTCAAAATGCGACTCCCTGTATGTTGGTGGGCAAGTGCTGCTGTAGCCATATGATACTGGTTTTACACATGCTGTGTTGGCTACCAGTAGATGTCCAAATACAAGTTAACGTACTGGCTTTAATCTTTAAAAGCCTTTGTTGATTAGCTCCCTGGTACATTCTGTCATCTTTCCCAAACAGAATCTCTCCTGTGCTCTCCACCTGGGAGGGGATGCTTTGGGTTCCCCAGTGAGATATGGAGGGAACTGGAGGCAGGCCTTCTTGATGGCTGTCCTTGTCCTTAAGAATATCTGAGTGCAGAGGTCCAGATGGCTCCTGCTCTACTGTTTTGGAAGTTGGTAAGAGCTATTCTTGGTGGTAATGTTTTATTATCTGCATTTATTTTTATTGTTTTTATGGTATTATGTTGATGGTTTAATGAGTGTGTGCCTAGAGTAATTTTAAAGTTGGTGGTGTACATATCATGTAATAAATAATACATTAAGAGAAGGGTGGGTGATAAATGCAATAATAAATCCTATTCCTACTGTCTAAAGTCTACTGAAATGAACGAGGATTAAGAGGATTTAGCTTTAGCTGGACGGTAATTTATGTAAAGCAGATCCCTGCCATACCACTGCAGCCTGTAGCAATTTAGTGTTGGTTTTGAACTTCAGAGTCTTTCATGTCTGGGACTGATTTCAGAAGGACTGCCATCTGGGTCTTCAGATAATTGGCCGAGGCCTTTGTCTCAGTGCCTCAATTAGCTGAAATACTGTAAGGGAACCTGCTTTTTAGTAGCACCTCCTTGGGTGTGTAATGGTTCCCCCTGGTTCACCTGATTGCTTGCTTTACTGTAATTTGGGGTGGTAGCTATAGGCTTTTACATGGCTATATAGTGATGTTTCAGTATGCTTATTATCTAATAAAGTAATATTTTCGTTATTTTAGTTTTCTTTTTAACTTCTTGCTTGTAGAGATATTTTAATCTTGTTTAAAGATGCTTGCTTGGATTTCTTAAGTATGTGGCATTAAGTATTAATATTTTCTACAACCTTTGGAAAATGATGATGATTGGGTGATGAATATATTGACTGAATAAATAGCATGTCATGGAGTCAAAGCACTACTGATGGACAAAGTATAACTTTATATCAGGAATACAGAAACTGCTTCAGGTACGGCATTGCCAGAAAGCTGTACTTAAAAAGTGGATGGTGCCATTGTGTTAAAATAGATTTAAATCTAATTAAAATTCAGTTATTTTAAATCAGCTTTTCCCCTGTGAACTTAATAATATCCCTTGTATCATATTAACAATGAGAGTCTGGTGGCAACTTCTGGAAGTCCTCTATGGACTGCACCTAAAATTTGAGGAGTCTGCATGACCTGCTTTAATAAACAAGTTTTTACTCAGAAAACAAGTCTACTGTTCTCTGTGGTTTCTTCCTACCCTGAATAAGGCTATCGTCCACATCCTCCGGTATCTTAGGCTAATTTTAAACTAACATTTGTGCGTGTGTTGCTCAGTACTGCCTGATTTTGGAACGCTTCTGTGGACCAACGCGACGGTTTTCTGTGTTGATTGTGTCCAAATGCCACTGCCGTTCAACTGCAAGCCACGATCACCATGGAAACAATGTGCTACTAGCAACTGCAGAGCAGCACCTTACTACAACTCGGATCGGAAGAACCTGCAATAATTACTCATTCGAACATCCCGCGGCAACTTCCCGCGAGGCCAGCGCGATCCAGGTGGAAGGCAGGTAGCGACGCCCACTCAGAGGGCGAATGAGAGGCGCGGAAATGCGTCCTTCCTTCAGCCCCAGCCGTTGTTTTCTAACTTCCGCAAAACAAGGACGCTCCTCAGCTTCTCTGTAGACGCGGCGGCGGTCGCGCTCATGTGCCGGCCGGGCGGTCGACCTGTCTTCGTTTAATCGCCGCGTCTCTTTTCTTCCGGGGGTTTCGTGGTGCGGCTCCGGCGCCAGCTCCTCCCCGCGGCCTTACGAAGCGAAGGCGAAGTCCTCCGCCTGGCGGGTTCCGTTCTTTAGGCGGAAGGTTCCCTCCTACCAGCTGGTCCTCGGTGAGTTGCAGCAGCGCTGAAAGGTCGCCTCCTTTGCAGGGCTGGAGGGTTTGTTGAGGGAAATAGATTTGACTTTCGACTTCGGCTGGTTTCTTTTCGAAATGATTTCAGTTGTGCAGAAGGTTGTCGGCCGAGCCTTCTGGGCTGGGAGAACTTAAGAAACTGCTGCTACTCCACGTGGGCATCGAGAAACGGATCAGGTTCACGCGTTGCGCTAAGCCATGATTTGCCGTGGGTTGGTGTCACGCGTTTTGCAATGCAAAGGCATTGCCCCAGTTCATTCCATCGGAACTAAACAAATCCCTTTTTCGCTTCCAAAAGCGGTTGGAGGCGTGTAGAAGATGGGTGCTTGTCTAATATGTTATTTGGGCCATCTGAAATGTCACAAAGTAACGAGAAAGCTTTTGAGTTTAGCAAAGCGCTTTAGATTGGATGTTTCATTCACCAAAAATGGGGTGGAGGAATGTGAGAAGGTGTTCCTGAATTTAAGTATTACAATTGGATGATAGTAGAATGGGAAATTGCACCCAGCAATAGCTTTGTGCTCCCTTGTTCTTCCTTTGTATGTGATGACAACTATGCTTAGCCCAAAAGCGTGCTCTGTACTTCATGACTGTTTAGTTGGTTCTAATGAAAATTTTGCTATTGCTGAACTAGGTTGACCCAGAGGATCTCAGAGTGCGTGTAAAATGACCTACCACCCCAGTAAAACTTGATTTCATGGGGTTAGAGTTGGGAAAGAATTATGCTGCTTACTTTTAATAATTACATCTTAATCTATATATAATATAATGGTACAACTTGATAAAGCAAAACAGTTTCATTGAAAATAAGCAAAAATTCCCAATACAAATTAAAAAAAAATACTTTTATGGTCTTGCTGACTTTTTTTTTTTTTTTTGAAGACAGCCATTCTTATTCACCAAGGTCATGAAAAAGATGCTTTGAATCAGCATTTCTCTTTGCAAACTGCTGCAGCTTGCAAAACACTGGCGGGATGTAAATTGCTTTTGGAGCATTCCCCGCGTAGCTGCATTGAGGTGACAGTCACAGCCAATTTCCTGCCAGTCTGGCTTGGTGCTTGTCAGTCCTTTCCTCTCTTTTACAGTTCCCTCTGCAGAGCAGGCATCAATTCAGAGCTTTGCATAGAAGCCTTGGGCCTCCAGGCATGAATGCTGCTTTTTCAAAAG